GTGCAGCGGCACACACCTGTAACCGGGCAGGGTTTCCTCCGTTGTGCTGTCGTGGCTGCCTTGATGCCTTGAGTTGATTCAAAATGTTTACTTTCACCGTCATTTTGACCTCGGGGAAGAGCCAAAAGATTCACAGATCTGGTGAATCAGGTGGATGTGGCGAAACCAGGATATTTTTACGAACCTGCTTTTCCTTTGGATGGCACTAAGCAGCAAGATACAATAAATTTTTAACAAAGTTTACAAAGACTCACAAGAAAAAGGACTTCCAGGACGGCCTCAGAAAGTGCAGGATGATGAGATGAGTGTGTTTGAAGTGAGAGGGAGTATTCTGAGGGAGATTCATGGCAGTGTGTCTTTTACTGTAAATGTTTAAAAGTGTAAATATTCACTGTGAATATTTTGATTACACTATTTATAGGCCCTCATGTTGCTGCAAGACCTTGTCGCAGACATCGTTGAGTGGTTACTTCTGAGGCTGCTTGACATTTGTCCCCCCGATAGATTCTGAGCTCCATGCAGGTAAGGACATCATACTCCATGGTACTCGCCCCCCAGTACCCACCACAGGACCTGGAACTCGAGGGTCCTTCCGCCCCCGCCCGGTGAGCCTAGCTCTGCTGCTTCTGGGTGGGGTGTTTAAATGCACTGCTCACCCTCTCCGGGAGTCAGCAGCAGGGTGCGGGTGGAGGAACCAATGTTACGAGCTGTGTGTGCTGTGCTGACAACTGTGCGAGCCGAACAGTGAGAAGAAACTGGGCGTTCATTGTACTCACAGTTTTACTTTGTGTATGCTTAAAATTTCCCCTAATAAAGTTGTTTTATAGGATGCACCAGGATGGGCTCCTCCCTGGTAGGTGGTGGAGAGCCAGGAGTGCTTTGGGAGAAGCCGGCTGAGGTGGCTTTTACCAGCGGCCCTGGTGGAAGGGTCCCCAGGCCACTCCCTGCAGCAGAGTCGATTCTCTGTTATCCCTATGGGTGTTGCTCGCTGGTGGAAAATGTCACACCCTGAGCTTGTGCCGCCATCCTCTCCCTCAGTCTCCCTGCTGCCCCAGCACCTCCTAGCCTGATCTTCCAAGGTGAAAAACCGCTGAACATCAGCCCCTTCTGAACAGCAACCCTCACTTCTCAAACACCCAACCCTGTAGCACTCTCACCCCTCTGCTTCCGTGGGACCCTGGGATGGGTCTGAACTTCGAGGCGCCCCCTGCACACAGTGCCTGGAACATTGCAGGCATCAATCCATGCGCACAGCCATGCAAAGATCTTGGTGGCCTGCAAACTGTGTGATGCCAGGCTTCTCCTTGGCTTCTCTGACAAAGAACACTGATCCCTGCCTGCCTTGGACCTTGGGAAGGAGTCAAGGAGACAATGAATATTAAAAGGCACAGTAAAGTAGGGACTTTTGCCCCATGCAGAGCCAGACCCTTAGTCCTTAGGGTTCCAATAAATCCTAACTCCTCTCACGCTGGACAGTGACTGGCTTTTACTGCATCTGCCACCTGAGTACCCAAGAACTGGAGGGAGATGCTATTGGCCACATCATCTCCGTGTCCCCAGTTCCCCTGCTCTGGGCCAAGGACAGACAGAGGAAGGCAGATGGCAGAGATGGAAAGGAGTAAAGAGCCTACTGGAAATCCTAGAGTTCCCAGGGGCCACATAGCCCAGGGAGTCCTTCCGAGGCCCTCAGGTGACAGATGGAGACAAGAGGTATGGTCTTTTCCACACAGCAGGATGGGGCTGTCCTCAGGCAGCTTAGCAAGTCCCTCAGGGGCCTGCTTGGTTTGTACCCAGGAAGGAGCCAGGTGGGGCGGTGTCATGCTGGACCACCTGTGCCGCTGGCCTCATAACTGCTCTGGGTGGCTTCTGAAGCCTCCACGAGGTCTCCCTGACTCCTCTCCCAGCCCAGCTTGTGAGAGGGGGCTCCCCAAGGCCCTCCAGGTGTGGCCTGAACTGCCACCCCTCCATGGCATCCCCACCCATCCACCCAACCTCTACGCTTCCTCTTGCCCATGCCCGGCCCCTAAACTCTGCCAGGAAGGCTGCCCAGCTACCCCTTCTCCACTCACTCCCAAGCACAAAACAAAGAACATCTCTGCCTTTGAGTCTCCCCCAAATCTGCAGACAGCCTTCTCACCTTTACTGTGGCTCCCCCAGGATTTAATCAAACCATGAAGAAAGCAGGAATATCCCGTCTCACAGAACCCTAATGATACCCCACCCCTTGACCCATTTTACAGATTAAGAGACGAGGTTCAGAGTGGCGAAACAGCTTGCCCAAACCCTTCTGGGCGGGGAGGACTGTAGAAGGTCTCTTCATCTGTCTCCAAACCTAACACACAGGGGAACGAGACCCTGGACAGAACGGGGCCATGGTTGAGCCCCCAGCCCTGGCAGATTGCCTAATGCCAGGCCAGGTGGTGGCCCGAGGACAAGGAGGAGTCCACAGTCACCAAGCATGTCCTCACCACATGGGGAGGGTCAGCGAGGTCCCCAGAGCCACAGGGGGCAGTGGTGACGGTAACACCCCCGCCCCCCGGCAAGGTGGACAGCTTGGTGCCACCTGACTTTCTTGTCTCCTTCCACAGTCTGCGTCACTGTGGACAGCAGTGCCCCTGGTCTGGGCTCCACCTTCCCCTCTCTCTGTGTCTGTCTTCACCAGCGTGGGGGAGCTGTGCGGCTCCTGCTGTGTTCCTTGTCGTGGTCTCTCTTGGCCCCAAGCTTGTCCCAAGCTTTCCCTCTAGCTGAGTCTTCCCTCCTAGGTTACAGTCTTTCTGTGTCTGTCCCTGCCCTGTGTCCCCATCCATCTCTGTCTCTCTCACTGTCACTTTGTCCCTCTGCCTCTTCACTGTCACTGCTGTTTATTCTTTGCGCTTCTCTCTCTCTCTCTCTCTCTCTCTCCTCCTGCATCTCTGTCACTGTCTCTGTCAGGCTCTGTCTGTCCCTGTCTCCTCCCCTCTCTCCCTGTCTCTGTCAACATCTCTCCGAGTCTCTCTCTATGTGTCTCTCCTCCCCGTGTCCCCACCTCTGGCCCAGGAGCCGGCCTGCCTTCTCAGCACGGAGCGGGCAAGGGACCCCCGGGCATCATTCCGGGCCCTCTCTGTCTGGGTGGCGGTGCTGACAGACGAGATAGCGATCAGCCTCGGCTCTGTCTGGGCCTGAGCAACGGGCACAGCCGGGCTACGCGGGGGCGTCTGGTGCAGCAGCGAGCGTTTGCGAGCGTGCCCATCTGGGTTGGAGCGCAGGTCTCCCCGCGTGGGGTGGTCTGGCTGTTTGTCTGGGTGTATTTGTGAGCGTCTGGGCCTGTTTACGTCTGTCGGCATCCGGTGTGCGTGTCTTTGTGTGGTGCTCTTATGAGCACCCCCACCTGTGGGTCTGTCCTTCCACGGATGACTGGGTAACACGCATGTGTCTGTAGCCACCGGCACCTCCCTGGGGGTAACTGGAATCGCTGTGCATCTGTACGGCCATCCTGGGCCAGGGCCTCTGCTCGCGTCATCATGTAGTCGTGAGAAGAGATCTCACGGCTCCACAGTACAGGCAGAAAAGTTGAGGCTCTTGACCCCTTTACTAGAAAGTGTGGCCAAAGATCTCTGTGTCTGCTGTCCAGCGGCAGGACCCTAGGCCAGTTGGCAAATCTGGCCAAATCTCCTGAATTCATTCAGCAAACCTGTACTGATTTAAAGAACACTTCGAAAAGCTATCTGTCCAGGACTTAAGCACTCGGTGTGCACCCATTCCTACCCCTCTGCCTCCCTCTACTGTCCCAAGCTGATGGCAAAGGGCGGAGGGAGAGAGGCCCCAGAATACCCCCGTCGTGGGCTGATCTGTCCCCATCCCAGGCTTGCCTGGCTGTTTCTTCGTAAGGAGGTCATGATTCTCCCTCTGGATTTTCACATCAGTGGTGCGCTGAGGGCACAGTGGGGCGGGGGTACTGTCGGCATCCAGCCAGGGCCCAGAGAGAGAGGAGGGGCGGAACTTGTCCAGAGCCCCACGACAGGCGAGGCCTGGAGGCACCCCATCCTACTGTCCACCGCAAAGTCCTCAAGCCCTGTCACCTGTCATTCTGAGCTCCAACAGATGCCCTCTACTCAAAGCTTTCCCACACTTTACCTGGCCCACGCTGTCCTGTGAGGGTCACTACCTTCACCTTACGGCTGGGGAAGCCCCAAACAGGTAAAGTAACTTGCCTCAGCTTTTGTCACGGGAATTCCAGCCTCACTAAACCTGCACTCCCTCCATTCTCTCCGGGACAGTGTTTTCCCTGGGTTTCTGAGGTTCCCTTGAGGAGTTAGTAAAAGGAGCCAAACGCATTTGCTTTTGCTGTTTTGGGAAATTTTAAATTTTGGGGTCACTAGTTAAACCAGGGCCTAAGCTACCCTTGGGTGGCAGAGTTCATGCCTCATAGGCAAAAGTGGCACTTTTTTCAGGAGGTCTCTGTCAGACCTCAGACGCCTTCTGCTGACACCCTCCCAGCGCAGCCAGGAGCAGCAAGACAGGTGCGGGGCCTTTGACCTGGGTCAGGGAGGCGTCCACAGGGCATGCTCTGCAAGCATCCCAATGAATAGCGGTTCGTTTACACAGCCTGCGCTTGAGCATGCATCACACCTGTTAAGATTCTCTCCTCTGTCTGTGTCCATTTTTAATTCCTCAAGGGCAGCGACTGAACATCTGGATCACAACAACCAGTCCAAAGCCTGGCACAGAAAGGGACCCTGGGGACATAAGATAAATAAGCGAAGACCCCAGAGTTTATCTCTGGGCTTCAAACTCTCCGGTCCTGTGAATGTCACAGCCAGCGACAAGCAGCACCAAGTAGTCTCGATAAGTGGTTTTATTACTGGTTAGATTTTACAAATTCTGATATTTGAACAGACTTCCACCTTAAAATTCTAAAACAACAAAGCGACTGTTGGAAGGGGTTTGATTTTTTTTTCCTTTTTTTTTTTTCTTTTCTTTTTAGGACTATTCAAAGTAACAAACTTTTTTTTTTTGCCTTTTGTTTTTTACATTTTTGCTCTGGTCATAAATATACAGAGAAAAAGAGGGAGAGAAAAATGAACAAGTCATCCCAAGTATGGATAAAACAGTATTCCTAAGGCACGTGGCAGTCTTTGAAAATACAGAAGCTCTAGCCAACTTAAATTATTTGTTGTTTTTCCTCGCTCAGTCCACAAAACTGTACAGAGACACAAATGTTGTGTTGCGTATAGATCTTCCAAGTAATTCCTCAGTGCACACCGCTGCATTAGCTGGACGCGCAATTAGTATTTTTTTTCCTCTGATTCCAGGCGAGATCCTAAATGTGGTTAGTTAGTTGCTCAAAGCCTCTATTTTAAAATACACTTGGAATTCAACTAGAGATAATTTCTTTTTTAAAGAAATCATGGGGCTAGGGGGCCGCGAGTCATTAGAAAAGGTTGGTAAGAGTCGTTTGTGAGGGACTGTGGGGCTCGTGGCCCTCCAGGTTGCCAGGCACAGAAGTTAAGACGGACGTCACAGTCGGCAGGGTGGGGCTCGTCAAGTCTGTGAGGGTGGTGGGCGTGCTGGAGGGGCTGAGCGAGGCGTTGGAGAGCTCGGAGGCCGGCCCCGAGGGCGTCCCCGTCTGCAGCGCTGCATCTGTGGTCTTGTCCACACCCGTGTTTTCCTGCCGTAAGAGGTTGCGCCTGAACTTGGCCCGGGCGTTCTGAAACCAGACCTGTGTGGGACGACAGGGAAGGGCTGGTTAGGGGAGGGCAGGCAGGAGTCATTCCCAGTCCCCTCCCAGGGCTGCTGAGCCGGGATCTCCTGTTTCTGGGAGATGCTAATCCTCCTTTTGCTGAGGGGCTCCACAAAGTCAGGCACGGCAGGCAGTATTTTGGCCTGGCAAATAAAAATCTCGTTTTTTATTTAAAAATAAAATGGTGTAGTTTCACAGAAGAGTACTTGCCTAGCATGCACAAGGCCCTGGGTTCAATGCCTAGCACTGTTTAAAAAAAAAAAAAAAATCCCTCTCACGGACAGCGCTTGGTTTCTATCTTTGTTAGGAGGCTCCAGAACTGAGTCACTGGCCACAATACCGAGAGGGGGACCTTGAAAGGTCACTAGCTAGATGTGGCCAGTCTATAGTTGAGAGCTCACACCCTTAGCAAGGAAAAAAAGAAGGTAGACTATCTTAGGAATACATTTTTATTGATTTCATATCAAAGTGATATTTTGGACACATAGGACTAATAAAAATGTATTATTAGAATTGCTCGGGCTTCTTTTTCCTTCTTCACGGTAGAAGTATCAGAAAATGTAGACACGCTGCATTTCTATTGGATGCACCAAACACACATACACCCTCACAACAAATCTTGATCATTTTCCATTACAGTTGCTTGAGAGATTTTTGTCTTTGTTTTTGGTTTTTTGGCAGCCTCCTTTGAACAGACAATAGATCCTACAAATTCTTTGTGGGTACAGTTTATATATATATATATATGTCAGTCAGCCTGGGAAATACTAAGATGATATAAAAAACATGCAGGAGACGAGAGTGCAGCTGGGTGGTAGTCTGCCTAGCATGTGCAAGACCCTGGGTTTGATCAGCAGCACTGCAAAAAGAAGAAAAGAAAAACCAAAAAGGCATGACTCTCACTCCCCACCCTCAGTTGGAGAAGCCACCGAGTACCTTAGACCACTGCAACTCACAAATCAGGGGGAGGTGGGCAGAGCAGGACTGCTGCCAGGTAAAATAAGGCCCAGGAGGCTGTAAGATGCGTCCCCCTCCCAACCTGCCACACCCCAGAGCTGCTTATGAGGGAGGCTGGGCAGGACACAGCGCTAGAACTGAGCATCTAAACACCAAAGAGACAGGACAGGGTTTCTGTCATTCTCCCTCGGGTACCTCTGTACAGGTACCTTCACAGCGCCTGTGCACCTTCATGAAGATGTGCACAGAGGTCACGTCACCTCCACAGTCCTCCCAGCCATGTGACAGCACAAACACAGACTCCACTGTACCCAGAGGGCCATGCAGTGCTCTGGAAGAGGCCCAGGAAATCCAAGCTGCCGGGGGTTATCCTTCCCCAAAAGCCTGAAAGGCAGGGCCCCTTCACTTCCTTCTACATGAAGGAAACACCCACCAGAAGCCTCCCCATAAAAGAGGGCCTTGGGGGATTTACAGACTCTGGAGTGTCCAGTTGCTTATTTCCAGATGTGCCTGCATCTGCCTGTCTTCCCAGTGTCTCGGGCAGGGGTGGGGTGGGCCAACTCCAGCTTCCACCCTCGCCTTGGGACCACCCAGCCGCAGGCACCCCTGTCTCAAGTCCCCCACTCTGGTGACCTGTCACAATTTGGGTTCAATCAGAATTAGGGGCATGCATCCTGGATCGAGGAAGGAGATGCCAGATATTGTGAAGGGGGGAAATCAAGCTCTCGCTCCAACACGCTACACCGGGTCTTCCCAGGGAGAACGCACCTTTCCCCTGGCTCTCTGCCCAAAGGAAGCCCAGCACCCCTTCAGGGGGCTTGCAAACAAGCAGTGCTACCAAGACCACCCTCAGCACGCTCTTCTCAGGTTGGGTAGGGAAGTCCTTCCCCACTGGCTGTCACTGCCTCAGTCACCTGCAGGAGGTCAATGAGAAAGGCCAGAACCCTGGTGCCCACCCTGGCCACTGCCTTGGCCTGTGTGCAAGTGACCCATGAGTGGTAGCTGGAACAGGAAGCCCTGTGGGCAGCATGCTGCTCATCCTTCAGCTGGACCAAGACCTTGGGAAGGGCTGGAACCACTTAACTGCCAGCTGTTGGCTATTTCTCAGGCATCACCCCTCATGGTGCCTCTGTAAACAATGCCACCAGCTTCTATGACTGCTTTCCCTGCTCTTTGGGGTCTGAGGGGTTGGGAAGCTGGGAGATGCAAGTACAACAGCTAAAAGCGAGGCTGCCGGGGGTTGGGCTTGCCCCCGCCCCTAAACAGAGCTTCACCACAATTCTTTCCCAGGTACTTCAAAAAGTCCCATTCCAAAAGTTGTCGGGCTAAAAACCCAGGCTGTCATCTTCATGATCCCAGGGACACAGCAGAGGCACAAAGATGAAGAATGGTAACGTGCACTGAGCTGGTGGCAATGCTAACATGTGCCTTCTACTGTGTGTCACGCACCAGGCCACCCGGTAACACACACCACCACAGGTTACCCCTGTGACAAGCTGAGTAGGCGGCTTCCATTACTGGCCCCATTTCATAGACTTAAAACCCAGAGAGGCTGAAAGAGGTAAACTCACTTGCCCAAGGTCACACAGAGGCCTAGCTGCGATTGGAATCCAGGGTTGTTCACCATAAAAAGTCCATGCCGTCCCTACCACATGATCCTAAGTAAGTCAGTGAGTGAATGAACAATTGAAGGAATATATGGAAAAAGCAACTGAGAGACAGAGGAAATAACACTGGATGTATAATTCCAGCACTCAGGAGGCTGAGGCAGGAGGATTGCCGTGAGTGAATTCAAGGCCACCTGGGCCACATAGTAGGCTCAAGACCAGCTTGAACTGCATAGTGAGACTCAGCTGCAAAAATTAAATATAAAAAGTTTAAAAAGAACACTGGATGTACTGTCTAGTCTTGGTTTTTCCGAATGACTAGCCAAATAAGCTTGGGCTAGTCACTCTCCTCAGAGCCTGCCTCAGTTTCCCCACTTATACAGAGAGAAGGTTGGATCACCAATGCCACATGATCGATGGGCCTTTGGGGTTAGGATGGGACTCCAGGGCAGCTGTGAGCAACACTGAGATGATCCGCTCTCCCCGCCCATCTTCTTAAACTGAAGCAGCTGTGCATTTAGGACAAGGCCATTCAGGCACAGAATCATGAGACACAGCAGCAGCCGGGCCAGTGCAGAGCGCATCCCCAGGAAGTCCTGAGTGGTGAAGAAGACCACCGTGCCTTGCCCCTCCTCAGGTGCCAACTGGCCTGCAAGCTGTGTTTCGCTCCAGAACCTCTTTCCCCAGAATCCTCATCAGGACCAGCGCAGCCCCTAGGCCTGGCAAATCCCCTGGTGGGACACTGAGGAAATCAGACAAAAGACAAAAGCCTCTCACCCAAAGCTGTCCTTCATCACAGCAAACTAAAGGCTGCAGCCCAGGTGTCCAGTGAGATGGGGCAAGGGGAAGCAATGTCATAGCCTCTCCCCAAAGCCACAGGGGAAACAAGTGTCCTGTGATGGTGGTTACCATGTGAGGAGAAAAGGATAAAGAATTATATCCTGGGTCTTGCAACTTATACAGAAAGTGATGATGGTGAGTACTCTTCCCTTACTGCGTGCCAGGCATAGTCTAGCCAGTGGTGGCAAACCCATGGCATGTGCGCCACAGTCGGCTGTCTGTTATCATGGAAAGCTCTAAAAGGTTCGCCATCATTGGTGGGCAAAGCTCTGAGCATTTTACCAGATTAACCCACACAGCCCGATAACAACCCTCTGTGTTAGGCCCTGGTTTGTAGGTTGTGGACTTGAGGTTCAGCCAGTGACTAGAGCCTCTGAGACAGGGACCCGGCAGCCTGGGGTGGGGTCCTGGCCTTGGCTACCGCATGACCTCTAAACTGCACAGTCACATGACTGGGCCCCTGTGCTCTTACCTGGGCTGTCCTGGTTTTTTTCTAATCAGTTTGTAGGATGGTTCTATTATTTTGTAAAAAAAATTTTAAAGTTTAAAGAACAAGAAGTCTCCTAAAAAGTTTAAAAGAACCAAAAATAATGAGCACTGGCCTAGGAATCAGGAAGCCTTAGTTCCTGCCTCAGGACTACGACTTTGTGGCACCTCAGGGGAGTCACTCCACCTCTCTGAGCCTCTGTTTACTTGCTCTTAAAATGAGAGATTTGGTGAAATCACCAGTTGAACTTCTTCTCTCCACAACCACAGCAGCCCTCGTGGCAGTACTATGTAAACAGCAGGTGGACAATGACCATTTTCCGGGTGGAAAACTGAGGCTCCTAGAGATGGAGTCCCTAGCCCTCGTCAAAACCTCACCTCTTCATCATAGAAGACTTCCTGCCTCCTTCACCTGCGCAGGTCCTTGTCTTACATGCTCTCATTGTGTGCCTCCCTTTGGGAGGCTGAGGCAGGAGGTTTGCAAGTCCAAAGCCAGCCTAGGTAATTTAGCAAGACTCTGGCTCTAAATAAAAATAAATAGAAGAGCACTATGTAGCTCCGTGCAAAGGCTCTGAGTTTAACCCCCAGTACCACCACAAGACAGAGAGGAAAGGAGGAGAGTGGAGTAAGAGGGGAGAGATTTCCGCAGCCAAATAAAATTTAGGAAATATCAGAACACTAAATTGAGTCTCAAGATTTCTGGATCCCTATATCAATGCTAACATCCTCCAAAAGAAAGACCCAATCAATCTTTAGCACTTCTCAAACTTATTTCACCCAGAATTATTATTATTATTCTTTTGGATTTTTTTTTTGAGACAGGGTCTTGCTACATAGTTTAGGTTGGCCTTGAACTTGCAGCAATCCTCTTGCCTCAGCCTCCCAAGTGCGAAGATGAAAGGTATGCACCATCACACCTGAAATTAAAGATTTTTTTTTTAATTTTATTGAGTTTATTGGTACATTTTAGGGATACAGTACAGTTACATTCATTGTCGGGATCATGTACCTCTACATGGCAAGTCTTGATTCTCATTTTTTCCCCTTACCTCTACTAAAGATTTTTTTTTTTTAAGCACAGAAAAAGAGATGAGTCTGATCACCAACACTGTGCCACATGTTTTCTCTAGACTGTGTTCCAAGGGCCTTGTTCACCAACAAATTCTTGGTGCCTCAGGCCCCACCTGGCCATGAAGAAGGGGAAAGCTGGCGGGGTGGTCTGAGCTCCTGAGTTATCTCACAGATTAGCGACAATCAATTGTCATCTGAAGAACTACTTTTGTTTGTTTGTTTTTGGTGCTGGGACTAGAACCCAGGACCTCACTTGTGTTTTTCTGTTTGTTTGTTTGTTTTTGGTACCAGGGATCAAACTCAGGCCCTTGCGCTTGTGAAGCAGGCACTGGAACCACTGAGCTAAATCTCCAGCCCTCACTTGTGTTAACTATGCACCAAGTTAAACCCCTAGCCCCTGAAGAATGTTTTCTAAACTCTTGGTGAGGTGTGTGTGTGTGTGTGTGTGTGAGACAGAAATTAACTCAAAGCCTTTGCACTGAGCTATATCTTTTTTTTTTTTTTTTTTTTTTTTTTTTTTTTTTTTTGAGATGGGAGTCTGCTAAGTTGTTAAATTGCCCAGGTTGGGCTCAAATTTGTGATCCTCCTGTCTCAGCCCCTCAGAGAGCTGGGATTACAAATGTATGCCACCAGCCTCAGCTAAAATATATTTTCTTTCAAAGTCAGCCCAGAAATCCCTAAAAAGACTTTAACCCATCCTAGTCAATTATTTCCCCACGCCCTCCCTGAGTCCAGGGCATCTCAATATTATGCCTTCCTGGTCCTCCCCAGGAAGGAGAGGCAGCTATGTGCTAGGAAACCACCTCCAGTCCCCAGTCCCCTCGCCCAGTGCTGGAAAGGGTTGTCACCGCCATGCTGCTGTTGCTGACAAGCTTGTGCATTTTTTTATGTGATGACTTTCACTTCCTGTTTCTGCTTTCCTGCCCAGGCACAGTATCCTGTACCTGCTCCTGCTCCTGCTCCTTTCCACTTTTTCCACCTATACTGGGGCATTCTGCAGCTAAATACAAGGGGGAAACACAGTCCCCACACTGCACAACCCTGGAAAGAGCACTGGCATCAGACCACTCTGGGCTCTGTCACTCTCAGATTCAGGGGAAGGGTCAGAGCTTCTCTGAATCTGTTTCCTCATCTGCAAAATGCACAATTCTTTTACATGCGCTGCCACTGTAGTCCTCACTAGAAAGGAGGCTGAGGCAGGAGAATAGAAAGTTTGAGGCCAACCTGGGCAACTCAACAAGACCTGTCTAAAAAGAAAATTTTTAAAAAGGCTGGGGAAGGATCTCAGAGGTAGAGCACTTGCCTAGCATTCACAAGATCCTGGGTTTAATCCCCAATACTACACAAAAGAAGAAAATAAAAATAAAATCTTTGAAAATTAAAAAATTTAGAGGTATTCAAAAGATGTTGGTAGACAGACAGACCCTGCTGTGTAAATGCATATGTGAGAGTTCTTAATACACACTTTACAGGAAGTAGGATATTGTTACCTAACATACTCCTTGCAACCACCCAGTAAGGTAAGTACTGTTCTCATCCCCATTTTACAGCTGAGGGTGCCGAGGCTCAGATAGGTGAAGTCGCTTACTCAGGATCATTCAATGAGTACGTAGGGTAACTAAGTTGGACCTCACTTCAGCCAATTCCAAATTCCAACAGCGATGCCCTCTCCCAGGCCTACCATGTTGGTGGTGCTCACATTTGGCAATAGCCTAGAACCGCCTCCCTGGCCCTGTATGCATGCATGCGCATGTGCACGTGCACACACCTGCACGCGCACACACCTGCACGCACACACACCTGCACAAGCATTCTACATTATCCACTTCTGGGAACACAGCTCAACCTCAACCCTGCCCTGCAAACCCTCTCTGGAGGATTGAGGTGGGCCCTGAGTTTGGGGGGAGAACCTGCAGGGGGCACCCGAGGCCCAGTGCCATTCAGCTGGCGCGGACCAGTGACAGGAGCTGTTTACTGGACATCTAATGTGTATCAACAGGTACCATGCTGGAATCTTCCCATTGGGTCAGACTCCTACAGGTAGAAACTAATTATTTTCACTTCGCAGATAAGGAATCTGGGTAGAGAGGAAGAATTCAAGCACCTACATCACACTGCCGGTAACTCAAGGAGGATTCACCCTGATCTTTCAAAGCTACACCACAAGTCCCCCCAGACTGCTCCCATCCTAGGTCCCCTAGATGCCACATCAGCAGTCAGGGCAACTGAGAGCAAGTGCACCCTGCTGATGCCTGGCTCCTATAACACGCAAGGAATTGCTTCATCTTACTAGGTCTTAGGTTTTCTCATCCATAAAATAGGCAGGAAAATATTAAGGTGAGATTGAAAGAAGCTTTGTAAACTGCTGCACAGCAATGAGTAATGCGCTGCTGGGGAAACTAAAGATCGGTGCAGGACATCTGGAGAACTGGGAAAAGGGAGACTGCTCAAGGTTACAGATTTGCCCCTCCTGCAGACAACAGGCCCTAAAGGGTTCTTGTACTCAGACACATTGGGGCTGGGCGGCTTGGAGGAGAAAGAACCACGTTCATCCATCAGAGGAACCTGGATCCAGCTGTGCTATTACTAGCCAAGTGTGACGTTAGGTGACTAGAAATCATCCAGGCCTCAGTGCTGTCACCTGTGCAATGGAAGAGGGAATAATAGTTTGACACACAGGATGGTTTGACTCTCCTCTGGTGGAAACCCCCAACAAGTCACACACTATAGGGAAACTGACTGTATGTGGGTCATTCTATATTAAATAGGTGTTTTGTTTGTTTGTTTGTTTGTTTTTTAGTTCATTCATCTCCGTGTCCCAGAGCCTGGTGCCAATATGTAGTGACATGCAAGACTGAGATAACAATGGTAGAAACCTGATTTGCTCCTAAGCCAGGAAACCAGGCTTCCTGCCTCCCTGCTTTCAGCCTCAACTATGGGTACTGACTCTACTTTGTTTAATCTGGACAGCAGGGAGAGGTACCCTAGAGGTGCCCTTTTACAGATGAGAAAGCTATTGCTCAGAGAGGGTAATCAATTGTCCAAGACACACAGCCACTGCCCTGAGCTCAGATCTTCCAGAACGGAGCTCTGCTTGACTCCAAGCCCTTGATGATTACTCACTGAAGCAGAGGCAACACCCCTGCCACCACTATACAGCAATGGGTGTCTGGGAGAGGGAGGGACGAAACATCCTACTAAGCAGAGAAAATGCAACAACCCCGAGTTTTCAGTCCAAATTCGTCCAGATCTGAAGGGCAGGGACATCAAGAAGGGTCCTCGATCTAACTTGGAGAAGGTAAAGTTCGAAAGAAACTCAAGAGGGAGACTAGAGGCCTGGGGTAGGCGGCCCTCGAGGGGCGGACCCAGGAGAGGTGCACCGGCATCCCATTGGCTGGAACTCGCTAAGTCACTGCATCCCAGTTACCCTAGCCCCAGGTACCCTTTGGTGCTGCCAGCTTGCAGGGGATCTGTGGTCCACCAGTGTCACAGTCCCAACCAGCACAGCCATCACCCCACAAAAGCTGTTTTGTTTTCTGACAAGACTCTCAGGAGTACTGAAATAGCTGTACAGCCCTCCCGACTTGTCACCTATACCATTACTCCCTTAATGTCACCTCCCAAGCCTCAATCCCAAACACCTAGGCCAAAGGGTGGGTGAAATTGGCCTGGGCTGCTTCTTTTGTGAGACCATAATCAGGTCTCAGTATCTGGGGTTTCTTATGTAAAATCATGCATGGCTATCACCATAACCACATGTGCTGGAGAATAAACTAGCTAAACTTGCTACGGAGGGAAACATGTTCTCCTTGTACAACGGAGAAACTGAGGCCTAGCAACCACAGAATGGGTCTCATGATTTAACTGATAACTTAATACACACCGAGTGGAAGTGTCCGGCATCCATCAAGGCAGACACCTACATCATAATAACGGTTCCTCCTGGAACCCTTTGGCATAGGTAACTTCCAGTATCCATTTTACATAAGAGGCAGCAGGCTCAGAGGAGTTAAGTAACTTGCCCAAGATCATGAAATCAGTAAGAGGAGGAGCAGAAGATTTGAAAATTATTGGCCCAAGACCGTGCCATAAGTTTGGGTCACGCAGGAGCCTGAGACAGGACCACTCCTAGACTAGTGTTCTACACATCTTTGGGGTCATGGAGTTCTGATGAAGGTTCTGGACCCACACATAAAGGGCAACTGCTCTCAGTCTCACAGCACCCAGCGGACTGGACTGGATCGCCCCAATCCCCTAAGGGCAGACCCCACCAGGAAAGCCCATCTCCCTCAGAAGATCTGCATGCCTGGCACACCACCACCAAATCTTGCTTCCTGGAAAGTCTGGGAGACAGCAAGTAGGGGCAGAAGAAGCATTTAGGGAAACTTGGGGTAAGGGTACAAGAAGCAAAACCTAACAACAGTCAGGATGGGGGCAGAGGCATAGAGCTCTGGCTTTACCATAAAGGCTTGAACCTTTTATAATGCAAACATATCTGAGTGCCACTTGAATAACAAATATTAAGAAGTGTTTACAAGAAAAGAGAAGAGACCGGGATTGGAGACTGAGAGGACAGAGGGCCATACACAAAAATACTGAGAGGCAAAATTGAAAGAAGTTAGGAAAAAAAAAGAATAAAATAGAAACGCAGAGACAGACCAAAGAACGGGAGAAAGAGAAGGCAGACATAAACGGAAGGTTCTTCCAAGCCCCACAGCCAGTGTGAGGATCTACTCCGGCCCTGTGGGCTGCAGATGCCCCCACATGAGCCCCGGCTAACCTGGAGGACCCGCTTGGTGAGGCCGGTCTTTTGCGCGAGCTGTTTCAAGTCCTTGGCGTCAGGATTGTGGTTAATGGCAAAGTAAGACTTCATGGTCCGAAGCTGGTGGTGCTTGAAGGAGGTGCGCATGCGCTTCGTCTTCTGGCTGCTGGGGTAGGGCTGGTCGCGGTCCAGGTGCTCTGCGTCGTTCTCATTGCAGCTTAGCGCTGGGGAAGGGACAGAGGCGGCAGGTGAATTTCCTAACCCTACCCTCATGCCAAAGCCAAGTCCACAGCCGCCCCAACTGCCGCCAAACTTTTCCGTGCTCTGCGCCACCAGGCCAATACAGGGATGCTATGTTCTTACAGAAGTACAAAGAGAAGCCCCAAGAGGGGAGCGTGGCCTGCCTGAGACCACTGAGCTAGGAAGTTCAGGATTCGATCCCAGCTCTGGGAGAATCCAAAAACCACTCTGGTCCATCATGTTACAACAGTAACAGCAGCAGCAGCAGCAGCAGCCATAGCTGCTACAACTTGTTGACGGCTGAGCTACAGATGCTGCGATAGCTTTACAGGCACATTTCCACTGGATCCTTAACAACCCTTCGAGCCAAGTGGTGTTTCTCCTTTTTACAGATGTTGAAACTGAGATTCAGAAGGGGAAGTTACTTGACTGTGCACCCCGCACGCAGAGACTCTGGGCCACATTCTTCCAGTTTCCGGGCACTCTCCAAAGAAAACCTGGCCATTCCGTACCCCACCCCCTCTCCAGAGTCCTGCAGAAGCTGCTGAATGACAGACTCATTTTCATCTTGCTTTCACCAGTTCCACACCCCAAAGTAATGTGAGACTCTGGGCCTAGGGTTAGAGAATGCATTTTGTAGTTTAATCCTCACCACTGTCCCATGAAGTGGTTGTTTCCTAGTTTTACAAACAGAGCGAATGAGGCTCAGGGAAGTTAAGCGATCCGTGGCGAGCTCACAGGGCAAGTGGAAGAGCTCTTACTGGAAAGGGAAAGAAGTAGGAGGAAGAGATTAACACGTATTAGGCACCTACCTTTTGCCTTGGCTTTACATATGTCACAGTCCCATCACTGCCATTTCCATATGAGACAGGAAGAAACTAATGCTAAGGGAAACACAGCCACTTGCCATGGCCTTGCCACTGGGACTGGCTGAGCCTCGGTTCAACACTTGAGTCCTCCCTGTTTCCTTCCACTATACACAAAGGGAGGCCTGATGAAGTGTGACTCTGTATGACTCTGCAGGGAGCCTGTCCCTATTCTGGGGTTTGGCTGTGGTGGAAGGTCCAGGTAAAAACCTTGAGCCTCCAAAAGTTGCTCTGTAAACTGGCAGCTGATGCAAGGGTCATGCAGCGTCCCTCTCAAGATTCCCTCATCACACCCAGAGCCATCCCTTTCCATCTTGCCTTGGGCAGAGCCTCATAGTAAGTTCAAACTCTGTCCCGTTAAAGTAATGAACTGGGAAGATATCTTGTGTCCCATCACATGCTCATAACAGAAGCGCCAGGTTTAGCAAATAAAAAAGAACGAGTCGCCTAATTAAATCTGAATTTCAGGTAATTTTTTTTACTGGTAAATATATGTCCTCAATATTGCACAGGGGATAGCTGTACTAAAATTTTTCGTTGTTTATCTAAAGTTCAAATACTGCACAGGACCAATCTGTCCTAAAAACATAGTTGTTGTTTATCTAATATTCAAATATTAACTGGGATAGAGTTACATACTAAAAAGTATTCATTATCTAAAATTCAGAGTTTGTATACAATAGACATATCAATAACTTACTCATCGTTTACCCAAAATTCACATTCAACTGGGCAGCCAGCAGTGTATCTGGCAACACTACCAGGAAAACGGTCTTTCTATCCAGCCATCGCCTCCCTTGCTCCTCCACACCCCTGCAGACAGAATTTGCAGGATACAGGTCCCGCCCTAACCCTGGAGATACCGGTTAGGTGCTACTCCATTTCTGGGTCCCTTTCCACATAGACCCAGGCATCCAGGTCCCCCAGAGTCCACCCGGCCAACCTGTGCTCCCAGCAGGAGCACCCAGAGTGAAGAATTCAAAGGAGATCAGAACACAATGTGCAACTCAATTTCGAATTCAAATTTTGGGAGCTATACTAAACCAGCTGAGGGACGCACCCTCCTCCTTCCTCCAGCCCCCAGCTCCTGGGGAATGGGGCAGGCCTCCCCATGGGGACTCTCTGCCCCCCTGCCCAGCCCCCATCTGGGCCTCTCCACTGTTAATGAGCTCCGTGGGGACCCTGGCGCCCCGTGGGCCCAAGGGATGTGCCCTGAGTGAGGCCTAGGTGGGGGGAGGTGGTGCAGGGGAAGGAGAGAGCAGAGAAAAGAAAGTAAGAGGTAGAAACAGAATGGAGACAAGGAAAGAGCAGGATGGGAGAGAAGATGGACAGAGCTTGGGAAAAAGAGAGGAGAAACGGGAAAGCAACAGAGATGGGAGAACCAGAGAGACAGCTACAAAGACAGAAAGAAATGAGGAGAGACACAGCGAGAGCCAGAGGGGAAAGCGAGTCCCACAAAAAGCGGGTGGAGGAGTTTGGTGTCAGACCCGAATCCTGAGGCTTTAAGAGACCGGTCCCTGCAGGGAGGAATTTTCTGAAGCAAAGAGGGAAGGGGAGAAAAGGGAAGGGAAGGAGCCCAAGGCTAGAGGCTGAGGCTAGCCCAGCAGAGGGGTAGGGGCTTTGGAGGAGGAGGAGGGCCAGCTGGGAAGACAGCCTCACAGCCCAGACCCCTGTACACCTGCCCTAGATTCGAGACCCCAAGATT